ATGGAGTGCCAGGTTGTTAAAGCAAAGTGTTCTTGCATTGAGGGAGTACTTGAGTAGAGGCCCAAAGTCTGCATACCAGACTCTTCTTGGTGTTAGTGTCCAACCTCTATAGGATTATCTCATAATCCTAGCAGCATGGAAAACCTGACCAATCCCCACAAGAGTTTACATACCTTTTTGCAAAATGTCCAATCCCGGCAAAGGTTTTATGTACCTTATTTGCATAGTAAGCTGTTCAATGTCTGGGCAAGATTGTGGGTTAGCAAATTTCCTTAGCAGAACTACAAACCCTGGGCCATATTCCCCAAAAATATGTATTGTAATTCTGACTGTATACTGTTATAATTTAGTTCTGTAAAAACATTGGTTGGCTTTGGGAAGAGCAGTATACCTTCCATAACATAATCTAATGAATAAAATGTTTGAGTCATACCAAGTGAACCCTTACACCCAACTTGAATAGATCCCAGAGATGAGGAAGATAGGCACTACCTGATAATGATAAGTAATCACAGGGATCTCCGAGGATGCCCCAAATAGATACGAAAGGACTACATTCCCAAGTCAAACTCTGAATGTGGACTTCTACCCACTTGAACTGTAAGAAAATACATTTCTGCCCTTTTAAGCCACCCAGTTCTATTTCTAGTACAGCAGTACTAGCTCCCTGTAGCTGATGAGAACAGCAAGTGACCTCCCTCTCTGTGGGGGAGGTTCTGGGCTGGACATGAGAGTGACCGCACGGTTGAACGACCTATCTCTAACTGGACCTGCTTTCTCTTCTTCAGGCACTGATGATCGGACAGAAATATTAAGATTACGTAGACGATTTCTAAAGGACCAAGAAAAGATCAGTTTTATTTATGCCAGAAAAGGTGCTGCAGAACACAAGCGAGAGAAGGTGTGTATCTTTTCCAGGCATGTCATTGGTTAGAAATGTCTGTTGTTGCTGTCCTTGAGGTACTAGTTCATCTTGGTGCACATAACACCGTCCCAGAGCAGAATTGCTTGCAGTGAGGCCAGTTATGAGCTACCATCTCCACTGCCCTCTGTGAGCTTGCAGGACAACATTGAATTCAACCTCGTGGGTTTGGGACTTGCATCTTCAGAGGAAGGCCTAGCTTGCAAACCTGAGGAACCTCTTAGCACACCTCTCTGTGTGGATCAGTCCATTCTGGTTCTTTTACGTGGTGGAAAAGGTCTCTCTTGATTCCTGAAGTTTAATGCCTACAATGGCAACTGCTTGATGGCATTGGTTCATTCTTTGTCACAGACCAGACCCTTAGGGGCACGCATTAAGTCCCCCGAGGTCATGGGTCACTGCTGTGGTCCTGATCTGAGACTCTGTTACAACCGACTGTTTTCCTGGAAGCACCTGGGCAGGGAAGGAGTGGAAGCCTTGATTGATGAAGTGAAGCGTTTTCAGAATGTTTGAAAATAACTTGTTTATCTGCTTCAATTTTGCTTAAAAACCAGTAATTGTAACATATATAT